TTCTTTATTTGAAAGTGGTTAACGTAGTTAACCACATTATTAAGACAATAAAGTGTCATTATAATAATTATATATTTTAAATTTTGAATTGAAAGCGGTTAACATAATATAATCATCCATTTAAATTGAGATATATTTTTTAAAAGAGTTCTATTTGGGTCAATCCAATTTTGCATATATTTTGGATTAAAAATTCTTTAAATGATGCACATATTTTTTTATTTTAAAAACAATTTTACATGTGGCTTATTCAAACATGTTATTGAACTTCTCTTCTTACATTTTTCAAAAAGAAAATTATCGTAAAAGTTATCCCCTAAAATATCAATGTCAATCTAAGTTTAGAAGGTATAATTTTTTTTTATAAAAAAAGTACGTGTTTAATATTATTGTTCTTCTTTCTAAAGGTGATCTATTTCACATATTTTACATTCAACTTAATTATTATCCGCGTGAATATTCCGAATGAGGATTTATAGAGATGGAGTTTTATTGGTTTATTTAACTTAATTCAATTTTATTTATTTTTTAATTTCAAAATGAAAAAAATAGTTTTTTTTGGGTAATATTGTTGAAATACGTCACAATAGGTGAAATTGCATTAAACTTACATCAAATACATTTTGTTTACTTGATTATAAGTGTTTTCATATGAATATTATGTATGTAAATATCTAAACACAAGTCCAATTAAATTTAAATTTACATAATACAAGGGAGTCAGCCGAGCACCTTTACAATAAGTTTTTGCTACTCATTATGTATTTTTTCATGTAGTAGAGAGTATTATTGAAGAGCAAACTATAACCAACGTACTTGTTATCTTTTTAAAAACCATATTTTTTTCACCCAAAAAATCATATGTAAATATCTAAACATAAGTCCAATTAAATATAAAATTACATAATTCAAGGGAGTTAGCCAAGCACCTGTACAATAAGTTTTTGCAACTTATTATGTATTTTTTCATGTAGTAGAGAGTATTATTGAAGAGCAAACTATAACCAACACACTTGTTATCTTTTTAAAAACCACATTTTTTTCACCCAAAAAATCATTAATTGACTGACCCACAAAAAAAGAAAAGGAAAAAGTTGTGTTTTGTTATGCATTGTTCTTCTTATATAGGTGTTGATCTAAAGTGGAGCCATGATTGAGTTTAGTCATCTGCCACAAAATAATTATTATTTTTATTTTCAAGGAACTTATTTTCTTACCATATCTATAGTAAAAAGATTGAAAAATATTTCATATCAAACAAAAGTAAATAGAGGAAATGAAGGATCCACTATTTTGATCCAAAAACTAATGTAACATTACATTTACATGAGGAAAACAATAAAACAAAGAAACCAACAACAAAAGGGGGGGGGGGTAGCAAATGGGAGACTTGACTATTCTTCACAGGGGAGGAGCTACAACCTATTAAGAGTGTGCAAGTGAACACCTTTCATCGGAAAATTATGTTGTTTATGTAAGTCGAAATCATATATATATATATATAAAGAGAATCATAAGCTCGCCTACACGGCACCCTTAGAGTTCAGGAATTTATTTTTATATTTTTCTTCATATTTTTAGATTTTTTACCCCTATTTTATTTTTACCTTTAAACCCGCTTCATCAACTCTTGTATCCCTTTAGATGCGTTTTTCAGGAATGACCTATAAAAAATAGGCAAATCATACCCATTGTTGTATCTTCTTCTTCGTGACAAATTTCATCCCTAATTTCTGTGGAACTTCGTCAATTCCTTGGAAGTCCACTTTGGATCTTCACAAAAAGAAATAATGACCAAAACTTTAATCTACTTATTATTTTTCCCTCCATTCAACAAGTTAAAAGAAAAATTATTCAACTGCTCAATTGTTAAACAATTTATCACAACCATTACAATTTTTTGGTTCATACCTACTGTCACGCCCTAAGGCTATCCCCTAGAGGTAACACGAGACCTAGGATCACAAGTGACCCCAAGCTAAACCCGAGTCTATCATACCCCAAGCATACTGAATATATAACTAAGATAAGCGGAATCATAACTAATAAATGAGTTAAAACTAAAGGACTCCAAATGAAAATATATCTGAATATCTGGGGGAAACAACCCCAAAACACTTAACACTGACTCTATGTCTAAATGCCTCTACTACTTATGAGATGCTGGGACAAGTCCCCATCTAACTCAAAAAGATACTGAAAGACGGAAAGTAAGCTAACTAAACCAAGCATAAAGAAACTCCCTCGAACTATGAGGACTCACCAATGAAGTTGTTGAGTGGGCTGGAAATTGTACTAAGCGTGATTTGGATGCTGAGCGCCTGAACCTACATAAAAAACGATGTAGCACAAAGTATGCGTCACTACTTTGAATGTACTAAGCATGTAGGATATCGATACTAATATGAACGATATAAATAGAACAAAATAATACTGACAATATAGACTGAGCATGGCAATAGGCTGTACTTTAGTATAACTAAAAACTGAGCTAGACACAATGACTAAATACTAATCATGAAGATAACATGTTGAACTCAATACTAAAGTACATGCTGATAACATGGTCAATGCAATAAGAGTATGACTGTGGGAGCTACTATTAACCGACATAAACCACGTGAGCTAAACGTGGAGTCCGATGTACACTCCCCATCGAGAGGACCCAATATACCTTGCCAGGGGTATAAAGACATGATTGTGGCGTGATCACTAAAATTGATGCCCAACAAAGGGGATTTCTGAACCTACGTTGGCACGTGGTTCTATGACTGTGAGGGTACGCTGAACCTTAGTCCAACTCGGTGCTAAGTCTACTCTCAACTAAATATGTATATAGCTAAAATGCAATTGAAATACCAAGTAGCTCAAAATACTGACATGCTATCTTAAAATGCAACATAAACATACTGAAAGATATGACATTCGAGTTCTGAAACATGATTTTCTGACTGATTTGCCTAGCAGGTATAATTCATAAGTACTAATAATTAATACAAGCTAGGGTTCTGAATTCTATACATGAAACTATGCAAATTTTCCAAGAAACATGTTATTTAGAATCGTGGATTTATAGCAGCTAAAATCAAAATGAATCTCCAAGATTTTGGAAACCCCAGGTCTGAGCAATTTTTGAAAAATTTAAGAACTAACTGAATTCTAGAGACCTAATGGGTGAAAAGAACCCACTAGTGAAATCCCACATACCTGGTGACAAAACTAGGGAGAAATCCTTCAGATTTTGGGGCTGAATTTGAAGAAGACCTATGTCTGTGCTTGTGAGAAATATCGCCTCGTTAGATGATTTTAGGAGAATGAGGGCTCTAAATAGTTTCTGATTAGATTATTAGGCTTAGATTGAGTAAAACAACGCAGTTTAAGTATCAAACGCATAGGGGAAAAGACCAATGTGACGCTGACTTAAAAGCTGACGAAGTGACTTCAAGACAAGTTTCATGGGCCGTCTAGAGCACCACAGCCCGTCAAGTGGGTCGTGAAGATGCTCTGCCTGACAAGGCTTCACTATTTCGGGCATAACTTTTTACTCTGAGCTTGAAGTTGGGCAAACTCAGTGGCATTGGTAAAAGGATTCTGAGATATTTAATTTGATAGGTCATGGGCCACATAATTCATTTTTTGCTGAAAGATATGATCGTTTGAAGTTGACTCAAACCTCAAAGTCTGACAAGCCTGCCACTTCACGGCTTGTGTGAAGCTCCACGGGCTGTTTAGGAAACCGTGGTTCTTCACAGTGGCTTGTGGGTTTAAGTGTCACTTTCACGGGCCACTACACTGCCCGTGTGAAGTTCCACGGACCATCTAATTGTTTGTGGTCCTTCATAAGGGGTTGGGTGATCCTGTGCCCCTTTCACGGGCCACTCCACGGTTCGTGTGAGGTTCCAGGGACCGTCTAATGGTCCGTGGTTTCCCACCCTTTTCTGGGTGCACAACCAAGAGCAGGGTGACGGGTCGTGGTCCTCTTCACGGCCTGTGGATCCCCTCCATGGTTTTTCCTTCTCTCTTGTTTAATCTTAGTTCTAATTTTTTTATGTTTTACACCTACTTATTTTTGGGGGCTTTTTCCTTCTATCATCACATTGTACGACAACTTACGCTAGTGTTATTCAATGATATGTAAAATTTTATCTTTAATGAGTTTATATTGAATTACTTTTTTGTTTTTGGCATGAAAACTTTTTAAGCATTCTTGATGGAATCAAAATTGAAGAAGAGACAACAAAGAGAGGATAAATTTTGATGGAACTTGATAAGATACTTGTACCTATTAATATATTTTATTGAGAGTTAAAACATTTTCTCCAAAATTTTGTGAAGTTTGGCCGACATTGAAAAGTCACAACTCTTTGAAAAAGTACAACCCATCAGAAAAGTCACAATCCTTCAATGTGAAAAGGTATCTACTTTTTGATATGTTTTATAATATAAATAAATATAGTGTGAAATATTTTATAGGATTTGGACTAAGACTTTTGGAATTAGTACTTATCCAACTTCTTTGAGATAAGCAATAAATCAGGCCAATGGTCTATAAATTTGTAACTTACTATAGGGAGTTATTTCATGGAGTTTGTAATTTACTGTAAGGAGTTATTTAGTGGAGTCAACCCATCAATGTGTGTACCTATTTATAACAGATACTTATTGGGAAGGTATTCATTCTTGTTTGCAACTTAGAGGAGAAATAAATTAGTGTTTTGTGAAATGACATATCTAAATAAAAAAGGAATGAAACCGCAGGTACAAAAAGGGGATTGCGCAAACTAAGTTGGGAATTTGAAGAATCATCATTGTGCAAAAAGTCCAATCTTCAACTATTACAACTATATTATTATTGTTTGGGCAAATTTACCACTAGACAAAGTATCTAAAAGACTTTTATTAGAAATTAAAAAAAATCTCAATAGGGATAAGTACAAGCAAATGGGTTAGACCTTACCTTACCAATCCTAATGAGGTAACAAAAAGACTTGGACCTTTCACTAAGCACGAATCTGAGAAAGTAATTTGAACATTAAACTTGAAGATCTAGGATCCCAATATAGCCCAATTTCAACACCATCGCCCAATCCGCGGTCGTTGAACAATTTGATGCAGGAAAGAGAAAAGTCATCATTGTACAACTTCTTTAAGCAAACACTTTCACCTTCATACTTCTTAGGGACATTCGCCCCAGTTAAATCCCACACGTCAATTGGCACATCATACCCGTTCTCCAAACTTTTAGCTGCATCCAATGTCCAATATCGAATAATGTACTCAAATGTCTCAAAAAATGGAATCACCAGCTTTCCTAAAATGATCTCATCACGAGTAATCTTTTTCTTGATCTGCCAGGGGTTTTCCAAATTGATTTTCGGGGGAGGGTATATATCCCTTATCTCAATTAGTTCTCGAGTCACTACATGTGGAGTGTTGTTAAGTTTGCAAGCTTCTTCTTCAGCTTTTGATGGGAAAAAATTGTAAAAGAATGTCTTCTTAAGGCTAAGCAAAGGTGTTTCATGAGACATTGAAGAAATTGCTGGAAGGATAGCTGAAAAAAAGAGAGGCGGTAACACTCTATTTATAATAGTAAAATTAGGTTTTAATTTATATTCCAACCTTGAGCAGAAAACATAGAATACTTGATGACAACTATTGATCAAATTGGTAATAAATATCCCAGATATATTTTTTTTTTGACAAAAAGGATCTTTTAATAATTATTGGGTTACCTCATTAGCCATATTTTTATATTTAAATTTTTTCCTTTTATATCTCTCTCTATATTGGCAAACATATTTTTCTTCTTCTCTCCTTAAACATTTCTTTTCACGGAAAATTGGATATTCTTGAAGCGTAATTTTGTCACCCCCCGAGCCTACACCCTGGGTGCGAGTGCCACTCGAGAACCATTGTTGGCCCCAAGCGAACCCTTGGCTTGGCTCAATACTCAGCAGAAGACTTTCTCAACATAAGATGAAATCAAATGTAAACTTTACTCAACTGTCTCAAAAGATAAACTCAGAATATATAAGAATATTTAACTAGCCAGAAATAGGCAACTCAAGTCTTTAAAACATTAACAACTGAAATTGAAAATACTCATGAACTACTGTCTATCTATCTATGAAGCCTCTAATACTATGAGGGATGTTAGGAAAAGACCCCCGATCATCCTAACCAATTGACTAACAAAAAATAAATGAGGGATCCTCCGAAAAAAAAAGAGGCTCACCAACAACTCTGGAACTCGACTGAATAAACGAAGCGCTGGTTGATGATCCTGTTTATCTGTATCTGCATCATGAAAGATGCAGGCCAAATGGCGTCAGTACATGGAATGTACGAGCATTTAAGGGGAAAACTGAACATAACCTGCAAGCTTGAACTAATTAAAGGAAACATACTCACCTCGACTCTACTCAACTCAACCTCAACTCATGGATACTCAACTCAATGCAATATAAAACAACGATAAAAGTACAGTTTATATAAAGAATTTTAAAATAGTAGATAGCAACTCAATGTATTTAAAAATACAATAGTAACTCAGTTTGTATGTAAAAATACAAAGTAAACTATATTTGGGAGGTTCTCTAACCGATAACAATCACTATGAGCTATGTGATGATACAACGTCTCCTTCATGCTGCCAGAACTGCCCTATACCTTGCCGGGGTATAAAACTCATCAACTAAGTGGATCCACTAGTCTATGCTTAAAATCAATATGGAATCATCTAAAAAGTATGACCCTTTCTATCCATGTTGGCTACATGGTTTATGGGGGCTGTGAGTTGTTTGAACTCTTTCCCATATCGGTGCTCAATACTACTCCCAAAAATATAACTTAGCTTATATGTTTTAAAGAAAACATTTCCTCTTCCTTAACTTTGAGATTATTACTCAAAAAATTCTCTTAAAAGAGATAGTGCTCAAAACTCCTCAAAACTCATTTGGAAATTTCAGTTTCCTCCTATTTTTAAATGTGAAAACATTTACTCTTGGGAATACTTAGTTCCCATATATTCATTTTGAAAGAAATGAACTCAACTTTACTCATCCTCATACTTAAGTACTCAAGTCATAAAATAAGTTTAAAAACAATGTAAAAGACTCTTCTCAAATAGACTCGGAAGTCTCTCTCAAACTTGACTCTTAATTCTATCTTGAATTTGAATTATGAATTCAAGAGTTATGATTTGTGATATGAAGGATATCATGATGATTAAAAGTGTTTTAGATAGTTAATCATGAGAAACGATAAAAAAATATTGTCTGGGAGCAAGTCCGCGACGCAGAGATGAATTATAATATTTGGTCGCGAAATAATTTTTGAAATAGTGGAGTCCGCGTTCTCTCCGCAACGCAGAGAGAGAATTTTCTTTCTGGGGGAGTAAGTCCGCGACGCGGACTTGGGTGCCAAATTCTGCCCGATCTTTCCTTCTTCTCCCAAACTCGATTCAACTCATACCCACTAAAATGCTAAGGTAAAAACTCTCAAATTCCTACAACCCAGAACAATTTTAGCGATACTCACTCAAGAACTATCAATTTACTCAATCCCTTAACAAAATCTCTGCCTCAAGACCAAGCATCAAGATTCAAGAACGAATAACAACTCTTCAAGAAACTCATCAAGAACTTAATTTCTCAATCTCTAGGGATGAATGAATTCGATAATGTAAAATATGATTGGCGTGTGGGTGAATGAACCCAACATTGTAAAACCTTACATACCTCAATTTGGAGAAATAAATATTCGATTCGTGAAATCCTTGTTCGTTCTTCCTTTTCTCTCGTTTTCTTCTTCTTGAATTCTTCTCTAAAACCCTAAGCGTAGTTTAGGATTGTAAAACTGACCCAAATCAGATTTGACCCCAAAAATAATACTAATTTCGAATTAATCTGATTGGGTAAGGAAAATACCAAAATACCCCACATATTTTCGGGTAACTTTCCTTAATTGGAGATGCTAACTTCAAATGGTCATATCTCCCTCATACAAGCTCAAAAATTAGCAAACTTGGTGGCGTTGGGAAGAGGATTCAAAGGCCTTTTGTTTAATATCTTATGGGTCACCTAAATCATCTTGTACTAAAAGTTATGATCTTTTGAAGTTGACCCAAAACTTACAACTTAAGCATAACTTGCAAAATTTCAGGTTTGGCTCTTTCCAAATTAGTTCTTTCTAAATTTAGCTCTTTACAAGGTGGGATGTTACAATATCACCCCCTTGGGTACATTCATCCTCGAATGAGATTAATCTAAGTAGAAATAATGGTGTAACATCTAACATCAGCTCAAACACCCAACATGCAACATATACACAACACATCAACTTAAATAGTACTAAGAAAAGAACTAGTACCTTGATTTGAAGCTTGTCCGGACTCAAAGAGATGTGGGTATCTCTTCTTCATATCCTCCTTAGCCTCCCGAGTAGCTTCCTCAACAAACTGATTTCTCCATAGGACCTTGACTGATGCTACCTCCTTGGTTCTTAACTTGCGAACCTGACGATCTAGAATCTGAACGGGAATCTCCTTATAAGATAGGTTGTCCTTAATACCAAAATTTTCAGTAGGTAATATAAGTGAAGGATCGCCCATAACTCCAACTCATAAGCTACATTGCCAATCCTTTTGGATAACCTGTAAGGACCAATAAATTGGGGACTAAGCTTCCCCTTCTTACCAAATCTCATAACACCCTTCATGGGTACTTCAAACTCTAAGTCTCTTCTCCTAACATCGGTATAGGATTTCTGACGACTTTGCGCTGTTTTCAACCTTTCTAGAATAATCTTTACTTTCTCCATAACTTGATGAACTAAGTCTGGTCCTATCAACCCAGCTTCACCAACCTCAAACCATCCAATAGGAGATCTACATCTTCTCCAATAAAGAGCTTTGTAAGGAGTCATTTGGATCCTAGAATGATAACTATTGTCATAAGCAAACTCAATGAGAGGTAAGTGATCATCCCAATTACCTTTAAAATCGGTCACACAATCCCTCAACAGATATTCTAAAGTATGAATGGTGCGCTCTGCTTGACCATCAGTATGATGATGAAAATCAGTACCCAACTTCACCTTCGAACCCAAACCTTTCTGGAAAGACTTCCAAAATTGTGCACCTCTATTTGAAATAATCGACACTGGAACTCCATGAAGTCTAAATACCTCTTGAAGATATAACTTGGCATAATCCTCTGCTGAATGGGTGACTCTTTACCGGAAAAAGTGGGCTGATTTAGTCATTCGATCTAGAATCACCCAAATAGAATCAAGCTGTTTGCGAGACCGCGACAAACCAGAGATAAAATCCATATTGATCATCTCCCACTTTCATTATGGAATCTCTCTATTTTGAGCCATACCACCAGGCCTTTGGTGCTCTACCTTGACTTGTTGACAATTCAGGCACTTAGCAATGAACTCAACAATTCACTTCTTCATAGTACTCCCCTAATAGACTTCTCTTAAGTCGCGATACATCTTTGTGAAACTAGGATGGATCAAATATCTGGAGCTATGAGCTTCCTCTATAATCCTCCATTGGAGTCCATCCACCCTTGGTACACACAATCTACCTTGATACATCAATACACCATCTCCCCCTTGTCCAAAAGCCATCACTTTTTGCTTATGAACACTTGCCTTCAAATCGAGCAAAATAGGGTCTTGGTCTTGTTTCTCTTTCACTTCAGATACTAATGATGATTCAGCCCCATTCATCACCACTGCACCATCTTCATTGGAATCCAACAAATGAACTCCCAATCGTGCAAGTTTGTGAACATCTTTCGCTAACTCTTTCTTGTCCTCCTCAACATGGGAAGTACTACCCATAGATAACCTGCTCAAGGCATCAACAACAACATTAGCCTTACCTGGGTGATATAAAATACTTATGTCATAATCCTTGAGTAACTATTGCCACCTCCTCTGTTTGAGATTAATCTCTCTTTGACTAAATACGTACTGAAAACTCTTGTGGTCGGCGAACACATCCACATGAACACTATATAGATAGTGACACCATATTTTCAAAGCAAACACTACAACGGCCAACTCTATATCATGGGTTGGGTAATTCTTCTCATGAACCTTAAGATGTTTGGAGACATAAGCTATAATGTAACATCTCGCAACTAGAAAGAACTAGAAGAAGTTTAAAATCTGGAAATAGTTATTTTTGGAAAGTATAAGGAAATCTAGAAAATTTTAAGTAAGTTAAAAGTGAGTTTTTGGTCAACTTCAAATGACCATAACTCATAGCTCAAGAAGAGTTAAGTGTAGTTCCAAATATGGTTGGAAAGCTCTTGGAATGATATTTCCAATGCCACTAATTTTGGGTGATTCCGAGTTGGATGAGTGAGTTATACCCTTTGGAAGTTGGGCTGTTGGAATAAGAAAAGTCCAATCCGGATTTTTAAGAGGTAGTTTGGTCTTTTCCTTACCCAACTTAATTAATTTATTTTTTGGTAATATTTTTAGGGGCTAAACTGAATGGGTTCAGTTT